ATAGATTACTGCATTGCACCCTACGTGGGGCTGCCTTTGAAGACTGTTTGGAAACTCCAACTGGTCCAGTGGACAGCAGCCAGGTTGCCCACTGGTGCAGCACTCAGGAAGCATACAACTCCCCTGTTGTGTCAGCTCCACTGGCTGCGAGTCTGCTACCGAGCACAATTCAAAGTGTGGGCTTTAGCCTATAAAGCCCTAAATGATTCTAGTCCAGGCCACCTGTCCAAACGTATCTTCCCCTATGAACCAGCTCAGAAATTAAGATCATCTGGGGAGGCCCTGCTCTCGGTCCTGTCTGCCTCACAAGTACAGCTGACGGGGATGAGAGACAGGGCCTTTTCAGTGGTGGCCCCTCAGTTGTGGAACTCCCTCCCTAGTGACATCAGATCAGCCCCCTCCCTACTAGCCTTCAGGAAGAGACTCAAAACCTGACTTTGGGAGCAGGCTTTTGAAAATTAGAGCAATACAGTATACCAAATATAGAATTATGTGAAATTTGTCCTTGGAATGGCCTTAGACCTTGAACTCTGGATGCTGTGTTTTCCTTTGAATGTATTTTAACTATGTCTAATACGTTGTAATTTTAAACTATTTTTATATGAATTTGTTGTTTTGAGGCACAGTGTATTTGCCATTGTAAGCCGCCTCGAGTCCCCCTGCTGGGGTAGAGCAAGGCAGGGTATAAATATGGCAAATAAAATAAATAAATAAATAAATAAATAAATAAATAAACAGCAAACTTTATTGAAATGAATTACTTCCATTGGAAGTTATCCTACAGTAACCTTCTTGGAATTTGCTGGGCCCTCCAGGGCAACTCTATGATAACTCCTGGTGGAAACGTGCCATAGAATCATCTGGAAAATTCCTAGTGAACACATTTTGTTGGACATTGGTAAATTAAACTGTGGGTACCAATCATGGAAGTTCATCAGGGAAGAGTAAACGGGAGACAGAGATGTGAGCGCATCTATAAGTTGGAGTTGTGATTGTTATGTTGATATTATTGTTGTGATATTCCCTTATTGTAAACTGTTTTTATATGTTGTACACCGCCGTGAGTCGCCCTAGGGCTGAGAACGGCGGTCAACAAATGCAGTAAATAAATAAAATAAATAAATAAATTGCCAACTATGGTTGCAAAGCTCGTTGTACACCTTTACACTCAATGCACAATAGACCACTCATCTTTCTTTCCATGCATTCAGGACTATTCTGGTTGTGGATCATTTTGAAATACAGCTTCATGTTTAATTGTAATAATTCAAAGGGCAATTACCAGGACAACAATAACTGTCACAAGGCTATCACTATCAGATATATCGGACTCCAATAAATATGTTTCACATCTGTATTGTCATATTTTAGTACGTGTCATCATCAAATGTCTCTGCAAGTTGACCCAAAACCGCAAATACTGGAATAAAAATGTGTTCCTCTGTATATTGAGTGAAAGTAGTATCTGACAGTTGCCTTGTGGTTTGGAAATGTGTGTTGCAATGGATATTGTGAAATATTATGTAATAAATTAACAGAAAATTCTTGCCCTAGCAGGGAGTATTACTAAATACATGCTCAGTAAAAGTATACAGTTAATCAATTTGCCTTGAAACTGTCAAAAAAAGGTATTTTTCTATTAAGCATTCTCCAGCTGTGGGGGAAGGTTCAGATGTCTAGAAGATCTCAAATTTACAAATTTAGCAGCACAAGATTACATATATGATATATACAGGCATATTCGTGTGACTTTATGGGATCTAATGCCAAACAAAAATAGCTAGAATCATATTGCTTAAATGTTAAAAGTACACCAAAAGCTTATGGTTCTGACTAGGCCTGCACAACCTGTGGCCCTGCAGATGTTTGGGACTCAGACTCTCAGATCCCATAGCCAGTTTATCCAATGGTCAGGAATTCTGTGAGCTGAAGTCCACAATTCCTGGAGGGCCACAGTTTGTGCAGGCCTAGTCCAAAACTTAATATACATTGAGATTTTATTAAAGTGCCACATGCCTCGCTCTAAGCCACAGTGGAGGAATGTGTAGTCCTCCATAATTACTAGATACCATCCCCATTGGCCTCAGTCAATGGTTGTTGTGCTCCAACATCTGGAGGGTCACAGGTTCATTATAGCTGATTGTTTCCTTCCATCCAAAGAATTGTATTACTATGACCATCATCAATTAACATAATTACAAAGAGTAGATATAACCTACTATAACCAGTAGATATAGTTCCATCAATGATTAAAAAAATGAGAGCTAAGGAAATTTAAGCTTTTTTAAGAAAACAAAATTGGCACCAAAAAAAACCTACAAAATAAACCTTCTTTGTGGGAGCATGCCACCACCTTTGTGCATTTGGCTGAATGGGTTTATGATTCCTCAAACACAGATTGAACAACGTGTAGCAATCCCCCTGGGCTGAAAATGCTACTGCTTAACACCAGGTCAGTAAACGGTAAAACAGCTGCCATTCAGGACTTGATCTTGGATGAGTATGCTGACTTGGTGTGTATTACAAAGAACTGACTAGAGGAGACTGGGGCAGTCAGTCTCTTCTGTCCACCAGGATTCTCTGTGCAGAAGCATGGTCTGATCTGGCCATGGTGGTACATGCCTTGGTACCATCCTGGTTGGACTAATGTTCCCACTCTACATGAAGCTGTCTTTGAAAACTGCTCGGAAACTTCAGTTGGTTCAAAGAGCAGCTGCCAGACTGCTAACTGTGGCTAGTTACAGGGAGCATACAACTCCTTTGTTGGAACAGCTCATTGGCTGCCAACCTGTTTCCGAGAACAATTCAAAATGCTGGTTTTGACCTACAAAGTCCTATATGGCTCTGGTACAGGCTTTCTGAAAGCCCGTGTCTCTTTCTCTGAATCTGGGAGACATTTATGATCTACTGGGGAGGGCCTTCTCTCAGTCCCACCACCCATTCAAGCACACTTGGTGGGAACATGGGGGCAATAGTTGCTCCCAGGCTGTGGAACTCCCTCTCAAGAGTAACCAGAATGACCCCATCCCTGTTGGACTTCCACAAGCAGGTCAAGACCTTCCTCTGCCAACAGGCTTTTGGGGAAGGGTAAGGGGCAGGCTTTGGGGAGGTTGGGTGGGATTGGGGAGGCCATGAGTTTTAAATGCCATTTGAAGGGGAAAAGGTGTGGTATAGATATTTTATATTTTTTTAAAAGAAAGAAAAAATAACCTTTCAGGTAATGTTACTCAAATCTTCTCACATCACTTTTGCTGTGCAGGGTTGATGGGAATTTTAATCCAAAATTCATACCATGTAGTGAAGAACATTTTACCATTAGGATTCCTTAGGGTTCTCTTAAGGCATGGAAATTAGATGACGAACTAGTTACAGCAGGGATATTAGAAAACTTTTTTTCCAAGCAGTTTAAAGAATGATTGGAAAAGGCCTGGAAAAAAAATCAGGCAGTTAATCAGCTAAAGAAGCCTTAGCTGAAGCTGGATCTACACAGCCCTATATTCCAGGATCTGATCCCGGATTATCTGCTTTGAAATGGATTATATGAGTCTACACTGCCAGATATTCTGGATCAGATCCTGGCACATAGGGGAATGTGGAAGGGGCCTGACTGCCCCTAAACGGTTCTGGCCCAACTTATCTATCCGAACGTATCTCAGCCTATCAGCCCACCAGGACCCTAAGATCTTCCGGAGAGTCCCTTCTCTCTATCCCTCCAGCTTCAGAAGTGCGGCTGGTGGGAACGAGAGATAGGGCCTTCTCTGTGGTGGCCCCCCGGCTTTGGAACCCCCTCCCTATAGAGGTACGATCAGCCTCTTCGCTGATGGTGTTTAGGAAGAGACTCAAAACATGGCTGTTCAAACAAGCATTCGGCTAATCTGTGGCAATTCGAATATAGATGACTAAGGACAGGAAACATGGACAACGAATTCTGGATTGCGATTTCAACTCGAGATATATGGGATTATTATTGGTGGCCCAATAATTTGTTATTGAATTTGTTATTATATGTGTATATGTTTTTAAATTGTAGATTGTTTTAACTGCTGTAAACCGCAATGAGTCGCCGTTCTAGGCTGAGATATTAGCGGTATACAAGTGTATCAAATAAATAAATAAATAAATAAATGACTACAAATAAAGATATAAACACATACTTTTGAAGATCCCATACTTCTGTGATAAATTCTATCAAATCTTAGAAAAATTCCTCTTCCAAGAAAACACCTTTCTTCTGCAGCATCCCATTGTATGAATGAATCATGTTCAGCTTTTAGTCACAGGCAGAATAGTTAGTTTACTTATGGTGCAACCCTATACTTGTCTACTCAGGATAAGGAGAAATCATCCGGTGTACATTTTGATAAGAATTTCCCAGGTTGACAAATCTTGAATCAATATGTAGATGCAACAATGGCTTTTGTCATTTTCATTCTTTCAGCATTTTCTGATATAATTTTCCAAAGAATACATATATTAGGAAAACTGTATACATGTAAAAATGTGTGTGTTAGCGGTAAAATGTAGAAAATTGAAGTACATTTTAATACAATAGCACTTGCAGTAGGGACTAGAAAATACCTAGGGAAAAGATGTATTAAAATGGGTGTTCTTAAGAAAATATACTGTAAACATACATGGATGTTTTCATTGATTTAGAAAGTTGCTGAAGTGGAAGGGATGATGTTAAGATTGGGACAATGACAAGTAAAAATTAATTCATTCCACCCAATCCATAAATAATCTCTGCTGAATCCAACAAGATTTATCTCAGTGGGAGTATGTGTATGATTATAGCCTGAATATTGTAAGCCTTCTGGATACAGAAACTGAACGGGTTTACTAAAGCTGAACTTGGCATATTCCAACTGTAGACCATTATTCCTTTCATCAACACATTCTGATAGCTTTTGATCAGACTTTCTTTCCCTCCCTCAAAGCCAACTAGCAAAACAAGTTACTAAACAGAAAAATAAGATGCAAAACGTAAAAAGAAAACAAGGTGAGAATTAAATTCTTTATTACAAAAAAAGCCATAAGTGATGGTTTTTTTAAAGATATATTTGTTATTTTTGTCTAAAAATAAATATTTCATATGGAATCTTGATTAGCCAGTGTGGCTAGTGAATTCTTTTCTTGCCACATAACAGATAAACAGTAGCACCAATAAATAAAATGATCGTAAAATTTTCTATATTTCTGGGATGGGAGAAGTTTACATATATAAAAATCGTAGTGTCTATTTAATCTGAATCACACATATACATAAACATATATATATATATATATATATATACACACACACACATACATATAACCAAATATATATATAATATGTAGATGTATAATCCTTGACTCAAAAGGAATGTGTAGGGATGGGTGTTAGAGATATTAATTAAATAACTGATCATGCTACTGACTCTGCCAACAATTTGTGAAAGACTGGATGGAACAAAAGAGTTAAAATTTTATACATAACAGTACAAAAAAGAGGTACGCTTTATAAATAGTAAAATTAAATATTAAAGAATACTGAAAAATACCTAGTTTAAATTATTTTTTAATTTCTATTTTTTAAAAAGGGATATTAAACAAGTATATAGAACAATGTTTGTCACCTTGCGCAGCATAGATATCTACATTTCAGTTATGCATACACACACTACACACATTCAGACGCACAGACACACTCATACAAAATCCACACCACATTGGTTTTTGGCTGGAAGGAGATTCCATAGTGGTTAATCATTACGCTTGACACAAGTTGATTTTAGGCCAGCTTTTGATTTCTCCACAGAGTGTGTAGAATTTGGGCATACACTTCAACCCTGCAAAGGGAACGGAAAGCGAGCTTATACACTTGGAAAAGGAGGGCTGACTACACTGTTCTACATGCCATATTTAACACTCAACAAATCCCCAACAATGGGTTAGGATGTGTATTTGCAGTATCAACCAGATGGTTAGCTCTATCAGTTTCAAGAATGCCAAATCTCTTGTGAGGAGTGGGGGGAATCCAGGATTTTTCAATACTACATTTCAGGAGAAAGAATATCTCAGATTCCATCCCTACATTCCATTATTAAATATACCAAGGCAACCAAGATTTTGAAACCTGATCTTGCCTAGTGACATCTCTGAAGTCACTAGACAAGCCACAGATCCATGCATCCAGTAGTGCATAGGTGCATACACCTATATACTAGATGCTATCTAATGGTACATAAATTATTTAGGAATTGGGGGGGGGAGTCAGAAAGGCTGTTTCTAAGCCTAGTAATATCTGCCCCCCTTGTTTTCTGCTTACAGCCTTTCAGAACCTGTCTGCAGGAGCATCACAGGTGTTGGGTACAATCCACAGGAAGATGGAATCATTGCTACTCTTGCAAGGTCAAAGTACTACAGAAATAGTCCAAGAAAAGTTTCCAGTGGATTGTACCTATGGCTCCTGATACTACACTTGCCAAAGCAACCAGTATGGCCCCACTATTGCCATGAGCTTGTCAGTAAAGCCAGACAAGGCCAACAAATTCTTGGGGAAGTCAACAAGCTTCAAGTATTTCAAGTACATTGTTGTCTTTGAACTTGCAGCCTGCATTTCCTTTCCAGAGCAGAATGCTTCCCAGATGCCTAGTGATTTGGGTTGCTTGTTTCAAGTGTTTTAAGTTGGAAGGCACTGAGTATTATGGCCTCAACCAACGTAAGCATCTCTGTATCCCTTAATCAAAATCTGAGCCCATTCAAGTGGATTCTCATCAACTGGACAAATCCAAAGGGGTCCAAAACACAATTATCTAGTTAGGGTCAATTTAGAGGGGCAAAAACTGTGCGTAGCCAAAAGGAGTCAAAGGTGCATCTTGCAGTTTTATAGTGGCTTCAAAGTGGGCCTGACATTAACAACACAGCACCAACTAACCTATAATTCATCTAAAAATTAACTGTACTTTATTCTAAAAAGAAGTTGAGTAATGCTGCAAAGACCTAAAGAGCCCTAAAATAGCAGCCACTGTGGGGCTCTAGCAATCCTAGCCAGGCTCTGCAGATGCGTGGGTTTCTAGTGCAAAAGCAGCTCTCTCAAGATCAATGGGAGTAGTCGTATCAACAATAGACTTACATAGATCATTCAGCATGTCAGACAACTCTGATGGGTGCCTTCCACCAAATGCTCTGCCCTCATCACAACAACCTGCCCCATCGTGATGGCAGGTTGAGGTGGAACATATCTGGAAGGCACGCACAGTTGGGAATGTTGACCTAAGGCCTAAAGTTTCAAATGAAACATATGGGGGAATTTTGCATCCTTTACATTATCTAAAGATGCACATTACTAAAAGAGAGTCCTTGTCCAGGTGAGCATCAACTTCCAGAAAACAATGTGAGGTTTACATGGAAAATAATATTAAGAGATTGCAAAACATGGATTGTTGGTCTCTCTATGCTTTACAGTAGCCCTGTCCACACATTACTCATATGAATTTGGTTAAGCACAGTGAAAGTGGTAATAGGCTACACATTTAGCTTCATGCTGTTCTTCCCAAGCTAACATCACAGGATTCAGTTATCACCCCTTAAGCGGAGAACTCCCACCTTCAGGAAGACTCCTTGTGCATTTGTGAACTCTTTTGAGAGGTGGAATTAAAAACATAACCCAACATTTCCCCAATTCACAAGAATGAACATTTGAATTGGGCTAGTGTCCTGTTAAGTAAGTTTCTGTTGCAACTAAAGACATATTCCGGTAAAGAAGGCAGCATATTGTTAGGATAGGTGACATTCTCAAAAAAGCAGTAATTAGATGACTTCACCCCACTCATTCCAATAAAGCAGTGGAAGTGTGCATACTTTTAAAAAAAAGACCTAAGTAGTAATTGCAGCACAGCATACAATGCCTGGACAGTCATGTCACAACAGATTGAGAATCTTCATAAATTCACAGCACTAGAAGTAGCCTCTCATTGGACACTGTTCACAGGCCTACAAATTTACCCACCCAATTTTGAATGCATTAGGACCCCAAATGCCTGTATGGTTGCATTCAAATACCAACCCCATATACACTCACTCACACATCCTTGCCTATTGTACATATATACTTTAGATTAATATCCCTTTCCGGAGATGTTCCATAAGCGTCTTCAGTGGCAGCTCTGTGCATAATCATGGCAGACAGTCCTGTTCAACTGCCTGGCAATAGACCAGTCCCCATTCTTGCTTCCGTGTTCTGCTAGCTATATATAAATATATGTTATCTCCTTTACTTAAGTAGCCAACAGGGAGGAAGATCGCAGATTCCAGTGATGCCTTCTAGAGTCCTTGCATCAGCAGGCTCACCATCGTTAAGGCCAGAATGTAGATCCATGACAAAGTTTCCGTTGCAAGTGAATATAAAAATGCACACCAATGTCCCAGCAAAGCAGGCAGGTTGTGAGCCAAAGGAGGAGAGAGTTGACAGCATCCCTCAGTCCCAAAGCGATAGAGTCCTTTTTTCTTTTGACCTTTTGACCCATAGTATTCCACGGTGCCATCTTTGGAGTCACCTGCCTCTTCCTCTCTTGTACAAATTTCTCTCACCACATCGGAGAGAACAAATTGAGGGTAGCAGACTAGTTTTGCTTTAGACAGTCAGCAAGAGTATGAAAGTTAAAACTGAGCAATGACTAAGGCCCAATCAGAGTTTCTTCCCAAGTAGCCCACTTGTGTCCACAGCAGTTGAATATATCCAGTGAAGATACCAATATTAGCAATGTTTCTAAAACTCAGAAGATATGTATGTATATGTATACATATGTGCATATATATATATATATATATACATACATACATACACACACACACACACACACATACCCACACATATACATTTTATATATTATTCATGTGAAATGGGAGTCCCCAAAATATACACCACTCCATTCTCCCTGGCTCCACTATTTAGCAGCATGACAAGGAAAGTTTCTCAATAAAACCAGTCCAAATCCAAAAGGTGAATTCTGTGCGGGTCCTCGGGGAATGTTCCTTCCGGAGTCCATCGTCCGTACTCAAAAAAGTGCTGTGCTCAACCGATCCTTCATTTTAGTGTTCATTTGGATTAGTGTTTCTTGACCAGGCGAGATAATCAGGCTCCAGATCCAAGGCTGTTCCCCACCCCACCCTTCCCCTTTCTTCTCTGCTGCTCACCGTCGTGGCTTTTCACATCTGTTAAAGAGAGACGGAAAAGGAGGAGAGGTTATGCTTATGCACAAAGCGAGAAAAGGCCTACAGCACTAGAAGAAATCAGGATAAACTGATTTTCTATGTAATCCACACAAATTGGGTGAAAAAGGTCAGTTTTAAGGCGAAAGAAGGGGAGAGTAAACTGCATTTCCTCCCCCTTTTGCCCAAATTAGAAAAATGTGAGCAGAAAATGATTTCCCATTCAAAATTGATTTTTCATACCTTCACTCTCTTCTACTCACACATGCACAGGCTTAACACATGCATACAAATAACCTGCATCATTCCCAGTCTAGACTTTTTCATTTTGCTTTTGAGGAGGTGCAGCCAAACAAAGCCACAAGTGTCTCGTGCAGGCAAAAGAAAACAAAATAGAGTGTCTCATTCCACTGTTTGCCAAGAGGCAGAGGTTAGTACCTGAACAGAGCAGCAACAGCAAGTTTGGAGCAAAAGCAGGAGAAAGAAGAAGAAATGTGGATGTATTCTTTAAAGATCCAGATTTCATAAATTCCTCATGAGACAGGCAGAAAGTTCATCTGAAGCATTCTGTTAATAACCGCAATGATGAGTGTAACCTGTTTCTCTTCCCAAAGCACCAGCCCTACATTGCCTTTAATACTAGCTGTTACTCTGTGCAGGTGAGAAACCAACAGAAGCAGGGCAAACAATTCTCAATTCAATAGATTTTTTTCCCCGCAAATGGGAACAGCTCTATGCTTTCTGTAAAGATGATTTTAAGTGTACACATGGTCGTTTGAGAGAAAGCTATGAAGGTCAAGGGCAGGGAACCGTCTGTTTTCTCTCCAGGGACAACTTCAGCAGGGTGAACTGTAACTCAAGAAGAGCAGCCTCTCTTCTCTCTCCACCACCAGGCATCTACACTCAGGTTACACTCCATCATAAGATTCCTCTGCATAAGGAGCAGATCTTCCAATTGGCAAAGAATGGGTAATGCCTTACAAAAAAAAAAGGCCAACACCATTGAGTATGTGACAGCACAGTTTTCTAGAGTGGAAGAGACTTCTGTCTGCTCTTCCACTCTCAGCTACTGTATACTATCCCTTCATGTCTCCCAAACATAAATACGCTAACAGTATTGGGAACAAAAAACATAAGCCCAACTTCTTCTGACATTGAGTTTATCAACCAGGTTTCTCTCTCTTGCTTGTCAGGGAAAAGCCAAGCCAGAGGGCAGTAGTCAAACAACAGATGGAATGTCTGTCATTTGATTGTTCACACTGCTGGATGTAGTGAATTGTCACATGGCCCTATCTCCCAAAAGAGAGCCAGTGTGGTGGTGATTTGAGCACTAGACTATGACTAGAGACTACAATCTGAATCTCTATTCAACTACAGAAACCACTTGCACAAGTTGCACCCTCTCAGCCTCAGAAGAGGGTAAAGGCAACTACCTTCAGAATAAATCTTGTCAAGAAAACCTTACAGTCATGATAGATCAGAAATGTGATGTTGTAGGCACACAACATCACATATCTCCCAAAACATAATTCTGAAGAAAGCTTTATTGTTATGTCCAAAGCCAACTAGTATACACTAGTTCTGGGCTGCCTTTTATTGCTACAAGCCAGAAATAGGGATATTGAAGCAGACCTTAAGGCCTTATACTGCATTCCTACAGCTTAGCTTTAAGTGGACACTCCACAACCTTGCATCTTGAAAATATAAAGCAGAGGGCAATGTCTGTGAGCAAGGGACTGGTTACACCACCCAGCTTCCTACTGGGTTAGGCATATCCTTGTATACAAGAATGAACCACCTCATTCTGGAGGAGCACATTCAATGTGAGGATCAACTATAACCAGTCACTCCAACCAAGCCTTATCAGAATGCAGAAAAGTCATACATTCAGACTGGCAACACCAGCCTTTTCCATCTGCTTCCTCCCTATCCTGGTCAAGCAGAGGAAAGGAGAGATGAAAGTACTTTGGCGCCAGAAGCAAGCAAGCAGAAAACACTCTCATTCACTCACTTGTGCTCTCTCAGAGCATGTGTATGTGTGCATTTACTCATGTCTTGCACGCATGTGTATGTGGGGATTTTTTCCCCACTTTCATTCTTCAGGACACAAACCTGCAAGTGCGCTCGTTTAACTCAAGCTGCCTCGACTTGCAACGTGAGTCTGTGAATTTGCAGGAACATTTACAGGTCTGGGGATCTTGTTTGTACAAGTGCTTTCTCCTTTCTGAGCAAGGTTCACAGTGACTGCAAAAAGGCAAAAGGAAAGAGGTCTAAGCTACAGCGCTTTAGCGGGAAGAAACTTACACATGCAACACCCTAACACATTGAAGCACTCCCGCCCCCACCTCCAATCCCTTCCCACCCCCCACACCCAGCATTGCCCATCTAGAGCACTGCTGTATGGGTGGTGGATATTCCTCAATGGCATTCTAACACTTGCAGTAGCAGTTTTTTAAAAAAGAGACAAACAGAAATGGGCTCTCTGCAGCTGCATAAATCCACAAATCCTGCATTAGTCCAATTTGATGAGGGAGACGTTGAGAGAGAGCCTCATTATGTTAATAGAGGCCCCTGAGCCAGTAGCTCAGTAGCAGGATACTCAGGGGCATTTCCCCCTAAGTAAAACCTCTCACTAATGTCAACTAGAATGACATCTTTACTAAAAAAAAAAAAAAGAGCTGGTGAGAGGAGCCTAGCACTTGAACCCAGCTGTTCTTATTCAGTTTATTTATATTTTTTCTTGAGGGAATGAATAAAGACTGCAGTCCATCCAAGGCCCCTCCTGCTCCAGACCTGCCATTTGAAATTCTTGGCAATGCAGGATTTTGTGAATGAAAGTCGGAGAGGAAGAAAAAGGGGAAATCCACCAAAATCCAGCAAAGAGAAAGAGAGAACATGTCTCACTTTCCCCAGTTTCCTCTTCATTCCTTTCCTCTCTGGTTAGTGTTTTCCTGATAATCCAAACACACACACTCACAAATATAAACATGCGTGAATTGCAAGCACAAAGCCCTGGGCATCAACTTCCTGAACAGTCACAGGCTTAAAAAGACAACTGAGGGGGAAATTAAGGGAAGGAAGGAAGGAAGGAAGAAGGGAAAATCACATCAAGGCATTGCAGGGTGCATTGACGGCAAAACAAAATGAAGCCTATCTGTCCTTTCATGAAGCTGTGATTTCAGAAGAGAAAGAATTACAAGAAGAAAAATGATTACAACCATTTTATGCTTCTACTCTCAACGTGGCAAAGCTTCATCACCAATGACACCACCCCAGCACCATGAATGAGCCATTTTGAGAAATGGGCAGAAATGATGTTTGTATTATTGTTGTTATATTATTATTATTATTATTATTATTATTATTATTATTATTATTATTGCAAGCAGCTGCTTTGATCTGAGGGGATGTGACAATAGGAAATGGGGAAAGGACAGATTTTACAAGCACATGATGCAAAACGTACAGGTTTTGTGGTTTATACCGGCCTCTCCTGCGCTTTCTCTTTTGACCCTTCCCCTTTCCTCGCTTTGATTTTCTGGAAGAAAAACAAAACAAAACCAAAAGCAGAGGGAAAGAAAGAGACAGAGAAAGAGGTAGAGGGAAATAGGAAGATGGGATGAAAGGGGTAGGTGTCTGTTTTGTGTCCTTTGGAGAAAGGGAAGCACATAAAAGCAGGGGTGAGGGACCTCTGGCCTCACAAATGTTTTAGCCTACAGCTCCCCATAGCACATCAAGAGAGGCACTGATGAGAAATGATGGGAGCCATTATGTCCCAAAATATGTAGATGGCCAACAGCTCCCCGCCATACTTCTAACATAAAGAACAAAACGCTTGGAAGGTCTATGGGGCAAGGAGTTTGTGGCCTTTTCTCACATACTAGCATTTACACAACTCTTCAGATGGGGCTGCAAAACTGAAGCATGATATGAGCATGCCCCTCATCCACCAGTTTTAGGTATGCCTTAGCATACCACTCGGCCACTTCCAAAACAGTAACACTTCCTTTTCTACACTCAGAAGGGAAGCTTAGGAACAAGAGGCTTGGAAGTCACTAAATACTCTAATTTCACAGGTCTCTGGGAAGAAATAATCACCGACTACCTTGTCTATCATACTTGAATGACTACGTTGTGACAATTCAATAAACAGCTTCTCTATTCCCCAGGGAAGAATCCAGAAAAGCCTTCCCCAACTTGCCCTCCAATTCCCGATCATCAGCCATGTTGGCTGGAGGTGAAAGGAACTGAAGTCCAAAATATCTACAGGGTTCTAAACCAGGAAAATCTGGTTGAAATGGCATGCAAACATGACAATTTCAATGTCTTTGGCTTCATTTTGAAGACCACATTCTGATGGCACATTCAAACCCAGCACTGATCCACTATTATGGGTAGCTTTCACAGAGAATTAAGGCCAGAGCAACCAGTCCTCCTAGCATTTGCTTTAGAGCTTGCCAAAGAAGGCTACAAGAGTAACATAAGCATTCAGCTAGATGTAAGAAAAGGCCCTCTAACTAGAACAACTGAGAGATCAATTCTCTTGCCTCTCAAGCTTCTACAGACAATAAACAACAAGTCTCTACAGAATGAGACATTTGGATAAGGCAAGGCGCTTAGTTATCACTCCTGAGGCAATGATGCAGTGTCTCCCATTGCCAGAGAATGTGGAGCCACCTCCCTATTTGCAAAAAGAAAAGAACACTAATAAATACTCAAGGCTTGTTTTTTCATATTTTAACTAAATATTTGGAAACTACAAAATTGTTTTACATTCACTCAGATCTCCAGTCCATCTAGCTCAATGGGTTTTCAGAGTGTTCCCCAGCCTTATCTGAAAATGACAGAGATTGATTTAAGGACTTCCTATATTCAAAACATGCATCCTACTACTGGAATATGTGCCTTCCCTACAAATGTTGCTTTTGATAGAGTGAATAGAGCTAGACAAGCAAAGAAGAATCCCTGACTCCAAGTGGAGAGAAGATTGCTCAACGTCAACTGTAACTCCAGTGGATCTCTGATAGCGTCTATGCCAACAGCTGACCAAAAGAGACTTGTGCACAGAAAGTAGAAAGGCAAAGATCTGAGCTATCAATTTTTATGGCAAAACCTCTACAGAGCAGTTTTACTATCTCACTCCCAATTACACCTCCTTCTTTTTTAAAATGTTTCAACTGAATGGGGAAGAAAGGCTATATTGGAGGAGGTGGTCCCTGAGATGTTTCCTGAACCAGACTAATGACTGGTACCCATTTCTTTTAAATATGCCTAGAACATTTCTTGAAGCCAAAGGTAGAGACTGATAATTCAGAATTTTTTTCTGCTATGTTTGACTCACTTCAATGACACATTCATCCAGAGAAGACCAAAAGCATGAAGGTGTCAAGCACAAGAGGAGTGTCAGCCTAATGCAAACCAGCGTGCCCCGCAGAATGTGAAATTGGCAAAGCAGTGCAAGCCACCCTAAAACTCAAGAAAGAAGTCAAGAGTGTGATGTTACAGTGACAGAAGAGGGGGCATTGGCTTTGTCCCATCAGCATCAGTGTCCAGTCAGTCACAGCAGCACATTCACACACTTTTGAGTCATTTTACACTATGTCAAGTGGCCAATATTTACACTAATCTGGAGGAAATAAACAAAAATATGCCTGCTTCTCTTAATCCAAATAATGTTTCCATAAAGTGAATTCCAAGGAAAAGAAGTGCCAAACTTGTGGCCCTCCAATTCCCAGAAGTCCTAGCAGCTTGTCCAATGGTCAAAAATTCTGGGAGGTGAAGTTCAAAACACCTGGAGGGCCACAAGTTTGGCACCACTCATTTATAATCCCTACATACCATTTATTCTCCTATCTTTCTTTTTTTCTATCGGCTAGTTCTCCTGCCCTGAAAGAAGTAGCAAAGCTCACATGCATAGCCTTGATGTTAGGAATTTAAGCAAGCCACTGTGAATAAGCCAGCAAATTTTCACTCAAGCAGCAAGAAAAAGAAAAAGGCAATGATTTCCAGCATTTACAGCAACAACTGTACACAAAGAAGGAAACTTTCACCCAAAGTCCATTCCAAAAAAGGAGAGGGCATTCTGTTATTCCCTTGCTATCCCTTACATATTTGTGTAAGAAAGCCATTTCAAAATGTCTTCAGGCAGAAAAGCAAAGAAGCTGTGTGTCCACAAGGAATGGGTTGAAATCAAAATGACTGCTTGATTTTTGTTGCTTCTTTATTTATCAACAAAAAAAAGGGGAATTAACAGAATCAAGGAGGGACCCACACATCACTTACTTTTCTTGTCTAGTTCTGACTTCTTTCTTTGGTCTGCAAGAGAAGAGAAAGAAAAGCAACATCAAGGGGCAGTCTATGATAAACATACCTCATGCTCACTTTACCCATCTGAGATCTACTCCAGTCTAAAATACCAGCTTTTAGAGCTTACAACATAGGTATTCAGATGTAATGACTACTGGCCATGCTGGCTGAGTTTAATGGCATCTAGAATAAAAAATACACGAAGAGCACCAGGCTGGAAAAAGCTCACTTATATCATCACAACTAGCAGATAAGAAAAGTCAAATGGCCTCCATTCAGGCACTCTAAGTTGTTTCATCAGATTCTCAGGCTGCCCCATCAAGTGAACACGGCCAGCAACAAGTGAAGTCCCTTCAATTTTTCTATCAATGATACAATGCCTCCAACAACAACAAAAATCTTCGGTGTTCATGCCTGCAGTCAAACACATCTCCCCACTCCCTCAAACAGATAGCCATCTTCACTCTCTATCGCTTATAAATAAAAGCATGCCAAGATACCCATCAGTGCAATTATAAATCAGTCTGCATCCTCACCTGCATTCACAGTTACTGTGCTCTTGGAAGCTCATCTGGTTTATGCGCTGGCCCTGAAAGGGCTTAATTCTCATGATCTAAAATGAAGGGAAAAACAGGATGGAGGAAGAAAGAAATAATAGTGAGTCACAATCATTGAATCTCTCCAAACAGGCAAAAAATAACATGCATAATGGTAAAATCCAAGGCAAAATTAAAGGACAGAATTAGGATTCTTCCCGTCCATCTTTATGCCCACACAATGGAAAGTATACATCACTGAACTGCCAAGTAGAAATGTGAAAAATGTGAGCTATAGGTGTAGAGAAACACTGATAAACACCTACTCTGTATGATTAACATAATAAGCCTTTGTCAAATGGATAAGAGACTTATAGTTCATTAGTTGAAAACAGTGTAAAGGTCTCATCCTGTGTCTTAAACAGGCTTGCATTTTAGCCTACCAAGCTACTTGCCCAAAAACATGGCTTATGATTTTTCATAGGTGGAACAGGGCCATTTTTAAGGCACGGAGATGCTAGGATTGCAAGTGTCATATTGAGAGAACCTCACTCAAACTAGGATATTTTAGACTCCAAGATAAGAGGATTTATGGCAGCAATCATGCTTTTGAGAGCCTCTTCATAAGATACAATGCAATGGAACTTCAGGTATGTGGTGTGAATGTTATCTATCAATACAAGTGAAGAAGAATTATCTATTTCTACAAAAGTAACGCAAGTAAAGACCATGCATTAATAGAGGAGCTCACAGCTGAAATAGTATGGAGCTATTAAGACAATAAAATCAGTGTGGTTCAAATACAGGGAAACCTGACTTACTAGCAAACCAACTTATGAGTTTTTTGAGATACGAACCATTCACTGCTCGGCCAATTTTTTGCTTTGACATGTGAGCAGAGATTTGAGTTACAAACTAGCACAAGAGTAAGCCACCTGCCATCTTAAGCAGGACTTTAAGGGAGAAGCTCTTCTCCTTGCTATGATTTCTGCAATTCCAAGGTTTTGGGAGATTGTGGGAAAGCTGAGGCGCCAGGAGTCCATCATCAGTAAACTTCTATCCTGATTAAAATAGGCAAGTTACACAAATACCTGACATTCTAACTGATCATTGCAGATTAATTTTACTAACATTTCCCACTCAAAGCAGGAAAGGGAAACTACATTATTTACTTATAACCTTCCAATCCTGGCAAAAAAGGGCAAATGCCAGTGAAGAAAAAGAAGATTAAGGGAAGTCTGATCTTGAAGGGAAATACATACTCTACACTTAATAAATCCAGTTTATTTATTTACATTCTCTTTTATTGCTTATTATTATTATTATTGTTATTGTTATTTATAAAGTACATTTTTCTTATTTAAAAACACGTAACAAAAATGTGTGGTTTTGGGGGGACTAGAATAGATCAGTAGTATTTTAATTTATTTCAATGGGAAAATATGATTTGACATATGAGCAATCGGAGCTAAGAGCTCAGTCACAGAACAAATCAAACACTTTAGTTAAGATATCACTGTGTAAGTATTTAAAGCATGACATGCTCAGTATAGAACAGCCTTAGATCATAAACCCTTCTACTCTGGGGCCTGCTCCTCAGTTCTGTGATCCACCACACACAAAGACGACACTGTAGAAATGATAAACAGCAACAACGCAAACTTAACATGCAACGGCAGACTTCACCAAGGTCATTAGTGCAACTGGTTTCCTTGGAATCAACATAGCTACTTGTGGCCTTGGGTCTGCACCACAAAACCACCCCGTTATTTACACTCTGTTTTGAGAGGCCCAGTCTGGCGAGGCAAGGTGACATCTGCAAACCACGACTATGGAAGCATAAGTAATGTTATTTCAAGCATGGAGGACTAGGCGTGGTGTAAATCAGGAATGAGACTAGTGTTTCCAATGCTGAAATATTCAGATAAGAAGTTAAGTCCAACAGAGATAGAGTGACCATGATCTGTGTGGAAAATATGCCTCCTTACAGTGTATGTTAAACCGCCTAGAGTCGGCGGAAGGCTGAGGGGCGCGGTATAAAAATACAGTAAATAAATACAGTAAATAAATGTGGCCTTAACTATTGTTTTCGCTTCTTTTCGGGACGACTACATTCAAATAAAAAAGGAAGGAAGCTCTTATAATTTTGACCGCATTAAAATGATGAACTTTGACTTGGTTGTTGTAGGTTTTTCGGGCTATATAGTCATGTTCTAGAAGCATTCTCTCCTGACATTTCACCTGCATGTATGGCAGGTTGTGAAGTCCTCTGAGGATGCTTGCCATAGATGCAGGCAAAACATCAGGAGAGAATGCTTCTAGAATATGGACATATAGCCTGAAAAATCTGCAACAACCCAGTGATTCTGGCCATGAAAGCCTTTCACAAAACTTTGACTTGGCCAGTTCTTAGGGAGATTTGCTCACATATAGCTTTCTTTTTAATGTCACAGGGGTTGCAGGCTGAAAAATACAGAAACCAAAGCAAGCAATAAAGGTGGAGCCAGATCATAGGGGAAGTTTTCTGATACTCTTTTTTTAAAAGAGAGAGAATATCTGGAGATAAATGATAGATATTTAAATTAAGTTTCTTTGTATTTAATAGGTTCTCATCAAGATAACACACAATTCGTCATTGAGGCCTCATGGGAGCAAACCACATCAAATCTCTTGGACACAGGGTAAGTCAGCTGAAAAGTTACTGTTGTAGATAATTTCAGAATGCTAAAGCCAGTCTGGTCATATTAGTCAGGAGGGATTATGGGAGCTGTAATAATCCAAGAAAGTAACTTTTTGAAGAACTGAGCCATAGGGGTCAGGAATCCCAGCAAAGCAGTGCTTTATTCACAGTTAATTGCTTCTCTAAACTCAGAAACATAGTAGTATCTAATAGGGCTGGGCAACCACGGAAAAATTTGTTTCTAAACTCGATTCGTTTTTAGGGAGTTTTTGCGTTTCGTTTTTTAAAAGAATTCCGAAATTTTTCTTTAAAAAAGTTCGACATTTACGAAATTTCGGAAATTACGAAACAATTTCGAAACAATAACGAATCGATTCGTTAATGGCGGACGCGATCGCGCAATACGCTAAAAAAACCTCCAAATGGGACAGGGGGAACTTCTGAAGCTTCCCTCTCCCTCTGTTGTTGACTGTTGGTGTGATAATTTATTTTTTTTCACTGATAAAACAAACAACAACTATAAAACTTGCACCAGACATACGGAAATAATAACGAAACAATTACGAAACAATTACGAAACAATTACGAAACAATTACGAAATAAATTTTAAAAATTCGTTTCGATTTTTAGTTGCTCCTGAATGGTTCAATATCGCATCGTTATCAAAAAAATAACGAATTAATAACGAATTATGAAATTAACGAACGAAACCGCCCAGCCCTAGTATCTAATGTAAAAGGGACTGCATTGGATGGGTAACCAGTGAGTCATTTCAGAGTTTGATAAACAATATTGAGACCTGTGGGCTGTTTCCTCTTTGTTTTATTACCTGTCCCGCAGAGCTGCAAAACATTCCTGCCCTTCATCGCTCACCTATTACTACCTATGCTGGCTTTAGCTAGCGGGAGCTGCAGTCCAATATGTGAAAGACCATACATTTCCCACCCCACTCCCAACGTATCACTTAACCACAGCCTTACCTCCATAGTGACATTGTGTACTGCTGTGGGTACACACTCCAATGCCTCATCGTTACAGCACCCTGCACATCTCTTCAGGGGTACACAAGATGGCTTGAAGATGAATTCCACCTCATCAGGATATTCCTGGAATATGTCCACCATGGTTTCAAGCGGCCTGCAGGCACTGAGATTGTAGACCACGAAAAATGAGATAACTACAAAATAAGAGGGGATGGAGAAAGAGTTTTGTTTTGTTTCTTGGAAGTCGAACAACACAATCTTCAAATATTTTAGGCAGTGTAAAAATAGGACCATGGGCATACAAATGAATGAATCTGTACGCGTTGCCCCTATCTTGGTACCTCCCCATTATCTTAAAGGCTCACTCAAACATGATGTCAATAAATACATTAGCTCAGTTAAAATGCACATAAAGCACAAGTCGTTAAGATTACAGGGAGGAGACCTCTGGAAAGGCAAGATATGACTGAATCATGGACAGGTTTTGCTTTTGCCATTATGGAATTTTAACCAGCTCAGCTCCTGAAACATTTGTAAAGCAGGAACTAAAGTGAAGCATGAGACCCAAACCCAAGGAATTCAACCCAGTATCCCAACTCCATTAGTATTCCAACTCCATTAGTATTCCATAGGATTTCTGCCAAACGAACATTGCTGGTTGCAATTTCCTAAGCAAACTGTTTTCACATTGCTTTGTCATGGGAAAATGCCATCCTTCCCTCAGCCAGTGAACCCATTGCCATTGCCAGGATGGCATGGAAAGTGGCTGGTCAAGTGTGATAAACTGCAGATTGGGCACATGTGCCTCATTCATGTAGGTCTTCACACAAAATAAAGGAAAAGAGATAAGTTTAAGGCTCCCGGTATTTGCCTAGCCTTTCATGTATTATTTTGGCCAGCCGGGCCCTTTATCCTTCCTCACCCCAGCAATGGAGCACCACTCCCAAAATACATTTACCCCTGATGATCCTTCCTTCCCCTTGCAACAAATAAACCACAACCTCCCCAAAAGCCATGACCTTTGCTCCTGTTCCTTTCCACTGGTTGTGTCTCATGCTTTACTAAATTTTGTACATCAGCAAGGTAAGTCTTCCATTTTGCCTCTATACACTTTGCTATATAACAGTTATGGATTGGATTTAGTCAAGGTCCAACTGACATCAACAAGAGCATACTCTCATACTTGCTTCTACTAGTTCCAGTGCTCCCTATATGCTGCTAACTTGGTTCAAGTCCAATCTATCATTATCACACCTTGATAACGGACTTTCAGCATCTGGAAAGGCTGTGTCAAGTTTGCTCCATTAGCCTTCTGTGATGGGTCATATTATCAGAGACTAAGGGCCCTTCCAAACAGGCCCTATATCCCAGGATCTGATCCCAGATTTTATTTTTATTCCAGAGTATCTGGCAGTGCAGACTCATATAATCCAGTTTAAAGCAGAAAACCTGGGATCAGATCCTAGGATATAGGGCCTGTCTGGAAGGGCTTAAATAGACAGTTACATTAAAATCCCCTTTCTTAACAGCTAGTCAAACACAACCTGTCAGCTTTGCTTGCCAGTCTCCCTTAGAAGGAATTTCTACAGTGCCATATATGAAGAAGTTAAACTTAAATGTGGGCAGTCTTATTTCCACACAGACCTGTCCCAATATGCTCTAGGTCCACCGCAATGCTCAGGATCCACCACAATATAGGATCCTGCCCACTATTCCAGCATGTGGTGTAGGAGAAGGCTTTGGTTGCCTTCTGATCATATGCCTGTACCCTACACTGAATCCTCTCACAGTGAGCAGTTGATAACCCGATGATAAGAAGCGTAAACTGCTTGCATCATGGAAAAAACAGAAGCCGGTAAGCATTTCTGAGGCATCCTGAACCTGTGACAAACTGGCATAAAGGTTGCTTCAGTGAACTGGGTGACAGGCAGGGGGTGGTAATCATAGGGGAGGGAGGGAGAAATACATAGAAGCTGGAAGGCTCCCAGCTTAAGGCTTTCAATTAATTGAGGAAAGTTAATTCTTGGTCATGTGGAGCAGACAACGGTGCCACAGTGCTGCTGGCAGCAGTCAGAGCTCAGGAGGAGCCTCTGTCTGGGATTTCTAGGGGCTACACATTAGGCTGTGTGCCTATTTAAAGAGACAGTTGCTCAAGAGGGAAAAATGTGTAGTGACTGGCAGTCCTCCTCAAGGAAAAAAGATCCTTACCCCAAGCTCCCCCCCCCCTCCGCACACACATGAGCATGTGTGTTCTCTCTCTCTCCTTAGGTCTAACCTGAACCATGTTATCAGCATATCCTCTCCTTCCTTGCTTTGATCTATATCACCTCCTCCAGCTTGTTCCCCTTCAGGGTGACCTCAAACTTAAAAATACTGCTGTATATAAACTGAAGAATTAAATAATTTAGCACCTGGGAAATGTGTAGGTACTCAGCTAGCCACATAAACCACACTGCTGAGTATGCACACATTTCCATAGAAAGGAAATTGTTGTGACTTTTAAAAACAAAATACTTTAAAAATCAAAACGTTATTACCCTTTTCTGTCTCTATGTTTTCCTAAGTGCCAAGGCCAAGCAACCAAAAGCTCCACGCTAGAACATCTCAAAACTCCTTTCCTTCCTGGCTTCAACACAGAGGCCTGCAGGTTTTCACCTGCTCTAGAGGACACAAAGTAGCAGCAAACCACAATACAAGTGTTTTAATTGCTGTCTCTTCCAAAGCCTGAAAATATTATTTTTGGACTACAACTCCCACTATTTTTGCCTTTTAAGCATAATCCAAAAAACATACATTTTCAAGAGCAGGACCAGACGAGATGATCTCCAGGGTTCCATATTTGGCCACTGGATCTTGCATGTCATCCACAACACCTTTATTGTCTTGCCTTCGAATGCAAGGAAGGGGGCAGAATGACCTCTCTTCAAATATCTTGAGTTGTGAGATCTAAAATCATGATAACTTGGAAAAGGAAACTAAGATGACTTCACGCTTCGGTGTTTCAGGCCTCTTCAGTAATATGTGGGCCAAAAAGTAAATGCCTTGAGTGTATGTTCAGTGTAATCCAGTACAGTTAGGAGATTGAATATCTGAACTGCATTAGACTTAGAATACAATGCATTTGCTAAAGTCATACCTTTCACATTCTCACCAAGATGACTTCCATGCTAGTAGCAAAAGCCATCATTCCTTTATCATGTTTTAAAACAAACTTGTTAGATCAGCCTTTTAATCAATAGTATAAAAGTATAAGAGCTGGTGATTCTACCTGCACAAGGTACTGACTGTATGTACAGTATACACACACACACCCCAACTTGAGTCTACCACGCAAGGGAGCCAATTGTTTTCTCTTGTGCAAAAATAAGTAATATTTCCATATGAAATAAAAACATTTTTTTAATAATTGGGGCTATAAAAATATTTTTTAGCTATTAACCCAAGGCAGAGGGAATTAAGACGCATGAGAAAAGGAAAGCAAACATGCCTGCAAATAGAGCAAAGTAGTTGGACTTTAACTCCCATCAGTTGAAGCCATCACAGCAAAGAAAGCTGAGGCCTGCAATCTAATAATCCACTGGTCCCCCATCTGTACTTAACTGTATTGGGTTTTTTTTTATTTGTAGCTTCACATATCGTAACAGAACTTCACAACCAGTACATTCTGGGACTGCAGCATACTGGCTAAGTGATACTGGAGTTGTAATTTGGAGGAGGGGGGGGGGGAGAACGTTTGTTTCCATGCACTGGTTAAAATAAAGATGTCCAATCCTAATTTGGCAACTACTGCAGAATATAGCCATCATTCAGCTTCTTGATATTCAGCTGTGCTCATTGTGATCCTGATGAATACAAACTGTTGGAACACAAGAAATCAAAAGATACAGTCTATGTTTCAACTGGCTGCTCCTTATACACATCATTCTGACAGAACTTTTCAACAGAATTAAAAGGTAATTAGGTAAATTGCAAGGCCAAAGTATGTCTGGGCCAACATCAGCTCCAGTAGATAATTCTGGTCTGCAGAACCGTTGTTGATCATGGGATTAAAGCATCATCAAAGCTAATGTAACAGCAAAAAAAGATGATCCAGAATTCAAACTCTCAGCTGTCATTCATGTATCTGTAGTTCAAAATGAAGGTCAACCAACACACATGTGTAGGATGGAACGTATTTCCCTGCTCAACATATATACTTATTTTGGTGGGAGGGGTTATCTCCTTGGGCCAGTTCAGACAATACATTGTAGGTCTGATTATCCCTTTATGAGAAACTGTTGCATATATGCCTGTCATGTTGAGATAATCAAAACAAACATAACCTAATAGTTATACGTACTAATGAAAACAGCACAACTGACCCTTCTAACCACATGATTCTGACTTACATAATTACATGGAAGCCATATTCAGAAGGGATGTCCCCTTGCAGCAGTAGAAATGAAAACAACACAACAGTTCAATGCCTAGAACTGGTTAAGACCTTCAAAGTACCATCCAAACTTGCTATGAGACGGCAACTGATCTAGATCAGCATTGAGAATTATTGTTGTAACTAAACTACAACTCCAGGCATTTAATGTCAACATTTCTCTGCTGGTAAGGGCTGCTGAATGTTTTAGTTCAACAGAATCTGGAAGGCAAAGCGATTCTTACTGCTGGTCTAAAATACTGATAGTTACATCTAGGATGGGTACAATCACTCAAAACCATAATGGAACAAAGTGACTGGTCATCCCCAAACCAATACATGTTTCGGAATTCCCATGAAGCTCAAATGCAACCCAGACACTTTAAAAATACTGGAATTAAGGAACAAAGGTTATACCTAAATACCTAATAATTGCTTAGAACTGGGAAAAGTTTCTTGATTCCTTTATATACCAGTGTGACTCCTAGTCTTGCTCAGACTGAAATAATTCTCCCATTCAATACAAAAAAAACTTTTTAAAAAACACATGACAAATGTGCAATGGTTTCATCAGGAACAGGAATCGGGAGACAGTATAAAATAAAATGAGTGCATTGTTACAAACTTGCTCTCCTGTAATCCTCTAGTCTACCAAGCCAAAAAACTATTACAAATTGAAACTGACTGAGGCAAGATTAAAGGCTGCCCCCTGCTGCCCTACACGAAGAACAGCGACCAGGGCCACTCCCTGTGTGTCCCAAACCAAGCAGGTGACATCCAACACTCTCAAGAGTGATTTTTCGAATTGCAAAGGTGGAAAACATGTAGCAACCTGGAGGTCTCTAGACTGGACAGCAACTGTGCTCCCTAAAAGTCCAAAGTTTGCCGGGGCTAATCCTGAGTTGGAATAAATGAAGCAGGCATTGTGAAACTGAATACTTGATCGAAGGAAAGAGCAATCCCCACCCCCCCACCCCCAGCAAGTAATGCTGTCATCTGCCAAAAGAAACTCTACTTCATTACTTTACTAACAGAGTCCTACATTAAGCTCTTCCTTCTTGCTCATAAGAGTCCTTCTGTTATCTTTCATCTTTTTTGCTTTATTCTCCATCCTCTTGAAGAATATAGAATTGACTGGGTAAGAAAGGAGAGTCTCATTTACAAATTCTCTAGATGGCTCATTACAAAATGAATAACTAAATCTGGGACCACTTATAATACCTGGATCAGATCTTTTTCCCAAATATTTGTTCAATCAAGGAACAAATGCATTCAAATGGACCACTGCAACACACTGAAATGAGGATAGTAAACATCCTGGCCCCTGACACATAATTGTTACAAAATTGTAACAGCCAAAACAGAGTTTTGAAAATTTACATCGTGAATTGTAGTTCCCAGAATCCCCCACCCAGTGCAGTCACCAGTGAGCATGCAGGATTCTGGGTTGTAGTTTAAAAATGACCAGACTTTACACATCTTATATAAAATATTCCATTTACTAGTAATCCCTGCTGGACTGAGCTGTACTCCCAAATCCCCTTTTGTAAGACACATTTCCTTCTTACATACATACCGAGGATACAATCCTAAGCATGCTTACTCAGAAGTATCCTCACTATGTTCAGTGGTGTTTTGTTGTTGTTGCATACCGTTAAGTCATTTCTGACATATGGCAGCCCTAAGGTGAACTTATCACAGGGTTTTCTTGGCAAAATTTGTTCAGAAGAGGTTTGCCATTGCCTTCTTCTGAGGCTGAGACAGTATGACTTGTCCAAGATCACCCAGTGGGACTTGACCCCTCTCTAGAGTCACAGTCAAACACTCAAGTCACTACACCACTCTGAGTTAAATGGTCACAGGATAACAGCCTTTAAAATAGCAAAGGCCGCTAACTCCTGATAAGTCTATTGCTTTAAGGTGACTTCCTAGAAAACTATCACCTCTTACTTCCTTATTCAGATTTACTAATGCCATTGAGCTCTGGAAAATTCAAACACTGACTGATAGTTGCATACTTTGGGCTTTTGTATCCCAGCAAAACAACCTAGGTCAAAGGTCTACCAACAGGAAAGAGGAGGGGTAGCCAGGCAATAAAAGATACCAAACCTTCCTTTGAAGATCACAACAAATTCCCAACATTTGTTTACTGAAGTTTCATGGGACAAGTGGACACTTTTTAACTAACTCAAAAATATGAGCCAGAAACATCCTGGACATTCAAAATAATATTCACATGTTATACTATCTAGAGATTGGCATCGTTCTATCATGCCTCCAATGTATAATCAGATTTTGTTTAACTGTGACTGATGCTTAATGGGAAAAAAGACAATTAGAAATACACTAAGGCAAAGAATGAGTTAATTTTGGCCATTAACAACATCAATAGTATTTCCCACTGCTTCCATGTACTTTTGTTGCATTCACATCTTGTCCTTACCTCCCAAGAAATCAATGTACATAATTTTCCTCCTCTCTACTTTATCCTCACAAATTGAATCAAACTGAGTTCCCTGGCTCAGTTCTTAAATTTATCATGTTAACAAAAAAAAACCCTGCATAATAGTGAATCCTGCTGAAAATAATAACATCCACTTGATGTTACCATAGATTCATCCTAGAAGTATCCTCTCCGAGGATTTGCTAGGTTCTCCAATATGAAAGCATACAATTGAATTGACCTAGAACATTCCTGGAGAAGACACCTCCAGGATGGATTTATGGCAACATCCACTGGAATGCGGGTAGATGAAACTGTGGATACTGATCCCACGGGTACAGAAGCCATATTGTATATCAAATGGGACCTTGAACCCTACCAGATCTTGCCGGTCTCTCATCACCATTGTCCATGTCGGGGATGACAGAAGCTAGAGTAAAACAATATATGGACACCACTTCCTCTCCTCTGATAGATATCATCCTAAATAATTCCTAACTGCTTTCCAGAAGGTGGCAGCATAAATGAGGGCCATCCCCAACAGCTCAGACCACATCACAATACTCCTCCTCCATACCCCACCACTCACCTTTCATTTCCCACAGTTTAGCCTTATTATACCTATCAAAAATTTGGAAGGAAGACAAGCCACTTACCTTCACTGTGTTGCTTCTCCCCATTCCCTTGGGCAGGAGCAGCCTGTGATAGCTGCAATGAAAACAGAAAATGTGTGAAATCACAGCTCAGTATCTTATCCTCAGTAGCACAGGAAATCTTCCTCTTTTGCAAAAATTGGCACTTTTATGTAGAACCCCCATGAAAGTGGAAAAAACTTTTTTTAAAAAAAGAATTACCTGATAGGAAGCCTCTCTATGAATGCCTAGGTCCTCCAGGGTAACTATGTTCAGCTTCCACTAGAGGACCTAGAGATTCCTGGAGATAGCAGATTAATCAAACCATGCATAATCAAATCTGCAAAAGTTGAACTTGTGATTGTGGAAAGTTGACAGTACTATCATTCTGCAAGACTAGAATGAGGCAAAAGTGGTGATGACATCATTTGGACAATTATTGCGCTATGGTAGTTAGCTATTTTGTTTTATAAGTGTTTCATGCTGTTGGTTGTATTCCACAATCTGTTTCTCTTTGTTGGTAAATGTAATGTCCAGAAACAAAGAGGCCTGTATTCTGAATAGAAACAAACTGAGAGTGTGTTATATGGAATTGTGTGGACATATCAGGATTTGTGATGTACATATATCTGGTTTCCACAGTGAAGTGCATTTTTCTCAATTCCAGCAGAACAGTAGACTGAAAACACAAAAAAGCCCGGCCTAAAATAATGCATGCTTAAGAGAAAGTTAGACCAGAACCATCTGTCTGTTCATGAGCTACATGTTTCCTCTGAGGACATGAAAAGAGATGTTTGAATGGAAATGTTCCCTCTGTGGACTACAACTCACAGAATTTGCTAGTCTGACGGGTAGTCCAAAAATCAACACTGGAAAGTTCCAGGAAAGGGTAGTCAGAAGACTCGTAGCAATAGCCCTTACTCCGCTAAATAGGCAACAGGACTGAAATTTGCTGTTCAAAGGCATTTTAGATTATTAAAGTCAAAATTAAAAGAACAGGCCGAATTGGGGAGGTGAGATGGCAAAGGAGAAAACAACTTTGGTGACCTACTGCTGACATGACAAATATGCCATGAGATTTGCACACGTTCCTGTTCCAAGGAAAGTCTGTCAGATTTTTTTTAAAAGGACGCTGCCTGTTACAAGCCCTCCAGCAGTGCTGCGGGCAAGCGCACAATTAAAACTTATCACAATCCAGTGTTTCAGTGTCCATATCAAATTTTTTCACATGATATATCATGACATGGGATAAATGAGGAACAGACATGTACAGAGCTCCAGTTGGTCAGGCTGGAGGCTATCAAACCCAACATTTTGTTCCCATAGCGGCAACCACATGCTTCTGAGAAGCCCAGGAGTCAAACATGAGCAGTAACAGCATTACCACAAATATATACCCCAGCAACGCACATCCAGAAGCATTTGATTTCTGCTCCTGTAGCTTTCAGGTCACCTCTCAACTTATGGCAACTCCATGTATTCCTAGGATTTTCTTGGGCAAGGAATACTGGAAAGGTGGTTTTGCCTGGTCCACACAGCAACTATTTGCTATAGTGTACATGAACTTTGAGAATAGTTCACATACATGTAGGGATCCTTTTGTAAACTGAGGCCCCATCTACACTGCCATATAATGCAGTTTCGGAATGCAGTTTAACTGCATTGTACTGGATTATATGAGTCTATACTGCCATATAATGCAGTTCAATGCAATTCAACTGCATTCTGGAAACAATTATATGACAGTTCAGATGGGGCCTGAATGCTTTTATGATTATGTGTTTTAACTATGTTGTTCCCTGCCTCGAGCTGTGAGGAGAGGCAGGTAACAAATAAATATATTATTATTATTATTATTATTATTATTATTATTATTATTATTATTATAACACACAGTAAGAAACAGAGAGAGAGAGACTTTTTAAAATCTTTGATCTCTCCTTCTATCTTTCTTTGATATTAGACAAACCAAAAATGGTAGCGGATACATAATTTAACATCACTATGATAATGCACCTTTCCTCTTAATAATTCTTTGCAAGTCAGACAATCAAACAAGTTTGATACCTAATGGGCTTAAACAAGGCTATTTATCCCTTATTATCAGAGCACTATACAGGTAGTATTATTTATAATCAGCTAGAAGTTATTCCATATTTAAGAAAAACCTTGGCTGACAAATGTTTTGATTTGCCAGCCAAATATTCTCTTTGCTGGTGTCTATGCACTCTATTAAACATTTGGGGGTAAACTGCAGCTTGTGGGGAACCAATATAGGATTTGCTTGTTTGAGTTTCAGTTGCCAAATGCATATATCACAATGAATAAATGGGAATTTAATCAGAAAACAAAGGGAGAAAAAGCTGGAGAGCACCTAGGGCCATCCATATGTTATTGACACATGCCTATCAGTCCCCAGTGTTAACAATGATGCACAAACAGTTGAATGTATCATGAGATAAGAGAATAATGGGGATAGATGAATATACCACATCTGTCTCCTTTCTTTGGCATGGTTCTGCCCTGCACCTTTGATATGTCACTACTGATACCCCTCCCTCAACTCCCTCCCTAAATTTCTCTTAACAGAGAATTTGAATGATGCCTCTGAATTAGCCGTCAAGATCAATAGCCCAATTGCAACAAAGAGAAAGAAGTATCAGACCAGGCCATTAGAGCTAACAGTTGTCATATGTGGAAAGATAAGTCAAAACCTATCAGATTGGGTATCACCAGATTGTGACCAGAATCAAAGTTTGAAAAGTTACTTTTTTTAATACAACCCAGCTGGTATGCTCTGCTGCAGTCCAAAAAAGTTAAAACTTTTCAAAACTTGGAGTAGGAGACAAAGCAAAAACAGTACAATAAAAACTAAGGCTTCAGTGCTGAGCAACTGAGCTACTCAAATCCTATTTGGGACAAATGAAATCTATGTAGCAGCCTTCCCAATAGACAGAATCACCTGTTTCTAAATGGAGAGTAAACTCAAGCTGGCTGTCTTTCTCAGTAGGAAAATTTGGCAGCTAGCGGGCCACAATGTTACTTTTTCATGCCAAGAACAGTTTCCCTTTTTTCCCTTTCTTAGCATGAAGGTCACAGCAACAGCACACAAACAAGATGGGGGAGAAGTTACACCTGACCTCGGAAACCACCAAGGCCAAGGGACCGAAAGCAGCTGCACAAGAGAAAAGCAGTTGTTGTGTCTGAAGTTCAGACTCCACTGAGACGGCAAGCTGTCCCTGCCAGGCAGGTGTCCACCCACCTCAGCAGCCTCGCGTAATGCACGTAGACTTTATGAGCAAGCCTCGAATGGCAGGTTGTCCTGAGACTCTTCCAGTTTATGATGATCACCACACCTGTAGCAAACATGATCCCAAGCAGCAATCCCACAGGAGCAACATGCACCACAAATACATTTCTGACATATCCAGGGCCATGAATGTGAAAACAGCAAAATTCCAGTAAAAACTCCAAAGTCCTCTTGAGGGAGTTTGAAATCAGCTACAAGCTTCTAGTTACTTTTTATCTAACAGATGCTGCTGATGTACTTTTGGAAACCTTTTGACCCTATTGCCAGCTTCCAAAATAGCTCCCCCCACCTTAACTCTGAACTGTTCAAAACAGAAAAAAAGAAAGCAAATACTCAGGGAACCTTTCAGCTGCACTCAAGCTTAATGACATTGCGCTGTCTTAGAAAAATCTGAAAAATCACTAGAAACCATTCCAGGGAGTAAAGTGGGATTTGCTGTGGTATTTATACATTAATTCAAAGTATGTGTCAAGGCTGGGCTGACGCTTGCTAATTAGCAGGGTTCAGAGGGATTACATCCAGGTATTCTCCTAAAAAGGACCAATGCATCTGTTGCTTACACAATGACAAGCTTATGCACTAGCCATCACGTACAATATTTTCATGGTATGGCTCATGCAATTTGTCTTTCGATCTAGGAGCTATTTATACAGCAGTGTCACCTTGAGTCCACACCAGAAACATGTAGGTACTTCTCTTGACTTCACTACTGAATTATGTTTTCTGTTTCTCACACTCCTCTGCTAATCTAAGCAACTATGCTTCAGTGGAGAGCAATCTGTCCCCATACAATTGGGGGGGGGGGGCTTCCAGCATAAGAAGGGCAAAGCAAAAGAGAGAGAGGAAAAGTCCTGTTTCCAAGGGACAAAAAAGGCCCAGTGCCCTTCTGAAGGTCACACTGCTTCTATTCATTTGCTGGCTTGAGGATCTTTATTCACAGTTTCTATATTATAAAATCTTTCCATCTCATTTCAGATTTTCCTGTGACATGGATTGTGCCTCAGAGAAATGACAGAGAAAACTGGGTTAAAGGACTACAGGAAGAACAGTTTCTTTAGGTCCTGGGTTAGCTGTAGATTGGGAGTCGAGGGAAAGATTTTGTTCTTGAATTGTGCTTTACAACAAGGTGCTTGATTCCACTTTGAAACAAGGGAGGGAAACAGTTAATCCAATAAATTACCACACACACACACACTCCTTACTCTTTTTCGCAGCCCCCTCCCCCTAATCTCTGCAGTCTCATTAAAAGAGCTTTGTAACTGTTTAGGACTGGAACAAACAATCCAGCCACTTTGGGAGGGCCCCTGGGACAAGAGTTAAACTCCTTTTCCAACTCAGGTGCTAAAAAAGTCTACTCAGAGGTTTGGACTTAAGAACAGGGCTTCACTGCAATCTTTTTTTTCTCATTGTGCCTTCAAAAGGGGGAGGTGAGGGTGAGAGGGATCAGCAGCTAAAGGGACCTCAGCCATGGCACAAACTGAGGAGAAAGAGATACTTAAAACTACTTAGAAAGTGACAAGGATGTTTGAGGGAGTAGAAATAGTTTTATTGTTGCTTGTTTCAGTTGCAGGGCTGCAAGGGGTGGCCCACCATGCTCTACCAACTTAGCATAAGAAGCAGGGAGGTTAAGCACGGTCCCCAGTGTGGCCCAAGCGAGAGGCCAGTGGCTGTAGGATCATTAGCAGTCTAGTCACAAGCTCTTGTTCCCTCCCAGACCCTTTTGCAGTGTTTGATCTTCGCCGGGTCCCAGTTGAAATACATCTTGGGAGGGAGATCTGTCGGTTACCAGTAGAAATCAAACACATGCACAGACCTGTCCAAGATTGTGGACCCAAAATCCAAATCCTGCTCTTTGAGCCACGGTGGGGTGGAGGTGGGGATGGAAGACAAATAACAGGAACTTGGAAGGGCCCAAACTTGTAACTTGACAAGTTTGGACCAGATCATTGTTTCCGTCTTCCCACTACAATCAGACTTGCTTGGCTCCAAAGAAAGCCAACTAAGAAGTGGCAAATCACTCAGGGAGGTGGCAGTGAAAATGTCAGCCCCTGACAGCCTTGTTGTAACAGACACCTATGACCTACGGGAAGAAACCAACACCTTTGCTTCCTCTACCAAGTCAGGGGCGATTTCTCACTGCCCCAGCTTAACATTTGTATACTGCTGTGATTATTTACCTTCAACTTCGCTAAAAAAACCTAATCACAGGACTGACCTTTACTTAAAAGATTCACATTGTATCACTGAGCAAAACTCTTCAGCTCATCTCCTAAGTGCAGCTTTGCACTCAATGTGTGCAGCAGCTACATATAAGAGCATATCTATAAGAAACAATACACAACAAAAGGCAATTCATCCTCGGGACAGAACCCTAATCAATAACAACAACAACAACAACAACAACTGTATTTTTCAACCGCCCTCTCACCCTGAGGGAACTCAGAGTGGTTAATCAATGCTGCAACTTCAATTTGGACTAGAATTCCCAGTACTCCATCACACATGGTACATCACACCATGCCACATAGTCCACAGTACTTTATAGTCTAGTCCCAAAGAGCTCCCCTCACTTCCTCAGAAGAAAACCTCTATTTCCCTAAACACCTCTACTTCTTCCTTTTTATCTATTCCCAATATCAGAGGAACAGTTTTGTGCTTTATTAAAAAAAACCAAGCAGACAGAAACAGCACCTAACACTTCAAGTATGTGGTTTGGAGGCCACTTTGAAAGCAAGCGCAGCTGGGATTTCGCCTTGACCAAGCAACGAGCCTCCCCAAAGGAATGAAGAGCCACACTTCTCCTTCAGGCACAGCCTAGAGAGCTTCTGTCACCGGCAGCCTAACAGGTTAACGTGGAAACATGTGACATCCTGCTAGACTACCCTTTGAAATGGCTCCTAATTGAGATCTTGCCTTTAGTTTGGTGCCAAATAAAACAACGCAGGTAACACGTTCGTTTACATAGTGCAACCTCCCCCAAAGAGGGACGAGCTGGGGAGCATGGTTAGTCCAACACATCTGGAAGACTGGCACAGATCATGGTTTCTCACATTCGCCTGAAATTAGTATCAGTGTAGACCAGGCATGGGCAAACTTTGGCCCTCCGGGTGTTTTGGACCTCAACTCCCACAATTTCTGGCCTCAAAGAATTTTGGGAATTGAAGGAAGGGGCCTGAGGTCAGGAATTGTGGGAGTTGAAGCCCAAAACACCCGGAGGGCCGAAGTTTGTCCACCACTGATACCCCACCCCCTTACACACACACACTCCAAAAGCTTTATCAGGACAAACCCAAGAAGGGCAAAGACCTTGAGTTGTGAAGCATTTAACCTAGCTACCTGAAAATATAAACTGGGCACTGAGACTGAAATCTAGGCTTTTTTGTCCAAGTCATTTGCAATAGCAACAATAGGAAACAATTATATCATGGGAAGATCATCTCCCATTCCCACAATATGTTCCACTCCTAAAAGATCCAGGGAACAGAAAGAAGGAACTGAGCAATGGACTCTATTTATGGGAACTCAGAGGGCCATTTCTTACGGGGGGGGGGGGGGATAAAATCGATCTCAAAGCCACTTAGGGTCCTTCCACACAGCCACATATCAAAGCAGAAAATCCCACAATATCTGCTTTGAACTGGGCAATCTGAGTCCACGTTGCCATATATTCCAGTTCAAAGCGGATGTGAGATTTTGGGTTGCTGTGGCAGGCATCCTCAGAGGTTGAGGGGTCTGTTGGAAACTAGTGGCCTCTCCACACAGCCCTATATCCCAGAATATCAAGGCAGAAAATCCAACATTATCTGAGTGTGGACTCAGATAACCCAGTTCAAAGCAGATATTGTGGGATGTTCTGCCTTGATATTCTGGGCTGTGTGAAAGGGGCTTAAGTAAGTGAGGTCGGTATATCTGTTGAATGTCCATGGAGGGGGAAAGAACTCTTGTCTGCTAGAGGTAAGCGTGAATGTTACAACTGGCCACCTTGATTAGTATGGAGTGGCATGCAGTTCCAAGGCCTGGCTGGTTGCTCAGGGCCCTTCCACACAGCCCTATATCCCATACCATTAGATCAAGGCAGAACATCCCATATTGGGTTGTTGTAGGTTTTTGGGCTATATGGCCATGTACTAGAAGCATTCTCTCCTGAAGTTTCGCCTGCATCTATGGCAAGCATAGATGAGACCACACAACTTCTGAGGATGCTTGCCACAGATGCAGGCAAAACGTCTGGAGAGAATAGCCCCAAAAACCTACAACAACCCAGTGATTCCAGCCATGAAAGCCTTCGACAATACATCCCATATTATCTGAGTGTGGATTCAAATAACCCAGTTCAAAGTGGATATTGTGGGATTTTCTGCCTTGATGTTCTGGGTTATATAGCTGTGTGGAAGGGCCCTGGGATTTTTTTTTTTTTAATGTGAGATTGTATTCAGCTGTGTGGAAAGGGGCCTCTGGATCCATTGTGCGGTCTTTGATCTCTATTTGCTTTTGCAAGGCAGGGATTGTTGAACTCTGGTCGGTAAACCTGCCTGGAAGGAGGAAAGCAAACAGGGGCCCCCAAAACAACACTCCTTTTGCAATGTCAGGAAGAGGGAGAGGGAGGGAGGGAGAGGAGAGGAGAAGAGAGAGAGAGAGCGCTGCTGCTGCTGCTGCGGCTGCTGATGCAAGAAGCCAGCCAGCTTAGCCCAGCCGGCGGCCGACCTGTCCGGAGGCTGAAAAGGAGGGAACGAGGCGCCTTTTTTCGGGGATCCTGGCAGATTGGGGTTCAAACTCACAGGCGGGAAGGGGCAGGGGGCGCGGCGGGAGGGGAGGGGCACCCAATGTGAGCGGGCCAAAGGCTCCCAGGCAGAAAGAGAGAGAGAGAAAGAGAGAAAGGAGAGCGCCAGGCGCCGACCTTTACGCCTCTCTCCTCGCGCGCGCAGGCCCCACGCGGACCTTGACGTGTGAACGCGCCCCCCCCCCATCCGCTCCCCGCCTCCCTTTGCTGAGCCTGTGCTCGGGAGCCCCTTCCCCGTTGCTCCTGGCGCGGGTGGGTGGGTGTGTGAGCTTCCCCCTTGCCCCCTTTCTTCCCCCCCCCCCTCTCTCTCGTCCTCCCAGGCAGAGAAAAGGGGCAAGGCTCTTCTCTGCTCCCTTCTCCCTTCCCTTCCCCCCCCCCCACTCCATTCCTCCCCCTGCCCCTCTTTACCTCGGCGTTGTTGCAATAGAGCAGCGCCGCCAAGCCCCACTGGATCCAAGTGAGCAGAAAGTTCATGGTTCTTGGCGCGTGGCTGGACGCAGAGTCCGGGCGGCTCGTTTCCGGGGCTCGCGCGGCGCCCTTCTTCTCCTCCTCCTTCCTTGCTTCCTTCCTGCGAGGCGAGGCCGAGGAGGGCGGCGGAATGGAGGCTCTGCTTTCACCCGTCCATAAGCCCGGCTCCCCAGGCGCCGAGGACGCGGCTCTCGGCCTGGCTTCCTGCCTCCCTCCACGCCTCCTTCCTTCTCTGCTCTCCGCGCAACTCTTGTCTCCCGATCCCCCGAAAGGCTTGGAAAGAGCTCTCTCCTGCTTCCCTTCCTTTCCCTTCCCGGCCCCGCACGCTCTCCAAAGGAGAAGCCGAGGAGGACGGCAACGATGGGCTAAAAAAGAGGGGAAAGTTTGCCCCCAAAGTTTCGGCGCATTTTCTTCTTCCCCTTCCTCGCCAAGGTCTCCGCTCCTGTCTCTCTCTCTCTGTGAGTGTAAATGAAGTTGAGGCTGACTCTGGTCTCCACCTGAAGGAAGGAGGAGAAGCTCTCCCGAAGCTCCCTCCCGCGCCGCTCTGAGAAAGGGCAATTGGTGTGTGTCTCCTCCGGCCCTTTCCCACTCTGGAAAGAAATCCAAAGGGCCCTCTCTGCAGCCGAGGGAATCGAGCAATGCCTAGGAGTCTGCCTTCCCCAAATTGCCCAGCTCTCGCCCCCGTTGGCCTTGTCTTTTCTTTTTCCAGAAGGAAAGGAGAGGGGCTCCTCTGTGCGTGGCTGGCTCTTTCTTTTCTCTCGCCACTCAGTGTCAGGACGAAGAGGAGGAGGAGGAGGCGGCAGCAGACCCACAGAACTGGCCCGGCTCTGGCGCGCGCGCTCCCCTGCCTCTCTCTCTCTCTCCCTTTCTCTCTCTCTCTCTCTCTCTCAGCGAGAGCTTTCGGGACGCCGGAGCAGCTTTTCAGCCGGCCGAAGTCCCTCCTTCCCAGCTCCGTCACTCCCTCTCTCTGCGTTGACGGTGTGGCGCTCGCTGCCTCACATTAAAACTCTCCTCTCGAGTCCCTGTTCGCAGGCCGCTCTCCTTCCCTCCCTCCCCCCCTCCTTTCTCCCCCCCCCCCTTCCTTCCTTCCCCGGCTCCACCCCCCCTCTCTCTCTCTCCTGAGAGGAAGACCGTGGCAATGTCAGGAGAAGAAGAAGGGGGAAAGGACAAGGAGGCCTGGCTCTACCATTAGGCAAAGTCGGCGCCTGGGTTGAAATCTCTGCTTTAATGGCCCCAGAGGATTCTTTTCTTGGGTTGTTGTAGGTTTTCCGGGATATATGGCTATGTTCCAGAAGCATTCTCTCCTGACATTTCACCTGCATCCTCAGGCATCCTCAGAGGTTGTGAGGTCTGGGTTGTTGTAGGTTTTTTGGGTTATATGGCTATGTTCCAGAAGCATTCTCTCCTGACGTTTCGCCTGCATCCTCAGGCATCCTCAGAGGTTGTGAGGTCTGGGTTGTTGTAGGTTTTTCAGGCTATATGGCCATGTTCCAGAAGCATTCTCTCCTGACGTTTCGCCTGCATCTATGGCAAGCATCCTCAGAGGTTGTGAGGATGCTTGCCATAGATGCAAGCCAAACGTCAGGAGAGAATGCTTCTAGAACATGGCCATATAGCCCAAAAAACCTAAAACAACCCAGTGATTCCAGCCATGAAAGCCTTCAACAATACATTGTGAGGTCTGTTGGGAACTAGGAAAATGGGGTTTATATATCTGTGGAATGTCCAGGGTGGAAGAAAGAACTCTTGTCTGTTGGAGATAGGTGTGAATGTTTCAGTTGGCCACCTTTATTAGCATTTGATACCCTGACAGTTTTTAGATGTTGCTTGTTACTGCCTGGGATAATCTTTTGTTGAGGGGTGATTAGCTGTCCCTGATTGTTTCTTGTCTGGAGTTCCCCTGTGTTTGAGTATTGTTCTTTATTTGCTGTTGCAATTTCAGAGTTTTCTTCTTCTCTTCTTTTGGAAAGACCTGGTTGTCTTGACTCTCAGGACATGGCTCTCCTTCAAACATAGCTTCAGCTAGTCATAGTGTCCATTGCTATATAAGGCAGGATGGGACATCCAGCAAAGGCCCATGGAAATCATAAAGTTGGAAGAAACCTCGTGGGCCATCTAGTCCAACCCCCTGCCAAGAAGCAGGAAAATTGCATCCAAAGCACCCTCCCCCAGATGGCCATTCAGCTTCTGTTTAAAAGCCTCCAAAGAAGAGCCTCCACCACATCCGAGGTAGAGAGTTCCGCTGCTGAACAGCTCTCGGAGTCAGGAAGTTCTTGGCTCATTATTAACTTGTTGTCCATGAGGACTCCCAAGATCTTTTTCACACATACTGCAGTTGAGCCAGCAGTACATGAATGGGAACTTCACATAAACCTCATCCTTTGCTGTGGAATAAGAGAATTTAGGGGCTCTCGTGGCACAGCGAATTAAACCACTGAGTTGCTGAACTTGTTGACTGGAAGGTCAGCAGTTCGAATCCCCAAGACAGGGTGAGTTCCTCTTGTTAGCCCCAGCTTCTGCCAACCTATCAGTTCGAAAACATGCAAATGTGAGTAGATCAATAAGTACCGGCAGGAAGGTTACTGCGCTCCATGCAGTCATGCAGGCCACATGACTTTGGAGGTGTCTACGGACAACTCTGGTTCTTCGGCTTAGAAATGGAGATGAACACCCTAGAGTCGGAATCAACTAGACTTATTGTCGAGGGGAAACCTTTACCTTTACCTAAGAGAATTTCACAACAAATGCACCCGTTGTCACTCCTACTGTTGTTGCTGTATTGGTAGAATTGTATGAAGCTACTACAGTCAAGATTTGGGGGAGGGGGGTCTTCAACACCTCCCGAATCCCAAGTTGTGAGTGTAGAATGATACATTGTAGAGTTCATGCAGCTTGACCTCCCTATCACTGCCACAGCTCAACACTATAGAATCCCTAGGAGTGAGAGACCAGCATAATTTGACCAAGAAAGTTAAAGACCTTATAAAACTACAGCTCTCAAGATTCTATAGCACTGAGCCAGGGCAGTTAAAGTTGTGTCAATCTGCATTAATGGGATGGTGTATGTGCACCCCAATTTTTTTCTAGCCCAAAAGGGCGAGTTGAATAGCTACCCCTAGAAAGTTCCAGGTGGAATGATTTACTTTTTCTTTTCAACTAGGTCTCAATGCCTCCTTTCGCTGTGTTGAAGTTTCAATATAACACCCATTTTGAAGAGTTAGAAAATGAGTTCCTGACATGAAAATGGAATTCCTGACATGAAACAATCAGGGCCAGCTAAAACCTGACTCCCCCAGGCAGGAATCATCCAGTCTTTGATGCTACAAGGCCATTTAATGCTAATCAAGATGGCCAATTGCGACATTCACACTTGCCTCAAGCAGACAAGAGTCCTTTCTCCCACCCTGGTCATTCCACATATATATGGACTCCACTTGCCTAGTTTCCAACAGACCTCACAACCTCTGAGGTTGCCTGCCATAGATGTGGGTGAAATGTCAGGAGAGAATGCTTCTGGAACATGGCCACACAGTCCGTAAAACTCACAGCAACCCACTGGGTTTGTTTTTGTTTTATGGTAGTTATGCAGCCCCCGGAGTGGCCCACAATGTCAGAATTCATCCCAGACATGCAGTCAGCCCCCTGCATCTGATGGTTGTTCCCCAGAGGTCCGAAACTGAAGGGTTGGAGGGTCTTTTTTCCCTAAAGGAGATTGAGGGGGAAGCTCTCTGTTTTTTGGGCAAATGAATGAGGCTGGGAAAGATGCTTTTCTGAATACCTGGAGGACTTCAGCCTGCAGCCCAGACAGTATTAAGCAAAAGGGGTCATAAGGCATCCCCTCCTATTTTATAATAGATGGGAGCTTTCCTTCCCTGGCTGGCTTTTGCCAGGGGATAAAAGGGAGGTTGTGACCCTGAATGCATATATGTAAATGTGTTTTGCCCTCCAGGGACACAGCCTCATTCTCAAGGGAACATTCCACTTTCTTGGAGATGGCCTATTGATCTAAGTTCCTATGTTGACATAGACCTAAGGTGACCCACATAGTCCTTCTTCATCCCCAAGGCCATGCAAAGCCATTAGGAGTATAAACATTTTCCTTGTTTTGGGAAACAAGTTTCATTCTCTCTTTCTGTCCTACCAAACCATGGTTTAAATCCAAATCTGTTCGTTTTGTACAAAACTTAGGCACCACACTTTATAGCTTCAGCCCATTTCAAAGGCTGAAGGAAAGAAAATGCATTTGGGGTGAGGGGAAGCGGGTTGCCATGGGAGGTAGCGATATTATCATTAGAAAGCAGTTAGGCTAGGCTGTTAACACTCAAAGAGAGGAGCAGAGCTGGGACTATGGCACTCCCTGGCGGTAGAAATCTGGTGAGACTTGAGGAAATGTATTGAGAAGCACGTCAGAGATAGTATGGGCCATTGAGTTAGACATGCACCATTCAAAAACTAAATATTTTTCGCTGACCATGGTAAATGCTACAGCATTTCTATAGAAGCCAGCATATCCTTATAGTAAAACACATTAAACTGACATGTAGATTGCCACTCTCGCATTTCATTTCTAGGGTGGCCACATAAAAAAGGCCAGAAAACCTGAGATTGGATCCTGGGAGATAGGGTCTGGAAGGGCCCGTAGTTTGTCATACAAGGGACTTCTAATGAAATCGCTTCTACTGCATTAATTATACAGATGACCCACCCTACCTTTCAACTCATTGTTCTAATGTTATTAGTGGTGGCACAAAGCAAGGGTGAGAATCATGCGACACTTCAGATGTTGTGGGATTGCCACTCCCATTAACTCTATCCAGCAGAGCAAGACTGAAAGGTGCTGGAAGTTGTAGTCTAACTACTTCTGGAGGCCCATGATTCCCATCCTACTGTAAGTTATGGAAGTCACCACCACACCACCACCATTGCAATTGGTAACTTCCTGCAGTGACAAGGCTGGAGTTGCTTTCCTAACACAGCTAATACGTTGTCAAATGTTAGAAGTCTTAGGGAAAACATGTTGTTTTCCTTGCTCAAAGCCGTGGCAGACTCATTTCAAGTGGAACAGCAAGAAAGGTGAGTAGGCAACAAAAAAGACTTGACCTCTTATTTATCCCAGATTAAAATCTGAACTAGAGGATTTAAGGAGAAAATTTTGCTGACCTTTTAAATGAGGCAAACATTACAAATTGCTGTATTGTCTGCACTAGATGTGATGTTATTTGTGTAAACACAATTAATGTGTAATGCACACTTCTGTATCCATGCCATTGGATTAGAATCTTTTTCTGTGACGACTCTGTATCGGTTGCTGTGCACTGATCTCCACACTTAAAATAAATCAATGCACAGGTGTTTTCAGAGTGACAAAAACAACAAAAGGATTGGCGAGTGGTGATGGGGGCAGGACTGTGAAATCTGGAAGCCCCTAGCTATGGTTGATATGGATTCAGTCATTCTAACTCAAGATCCAAAGCATTTGAGCAGTTCATCAGCTGTATCCATGAATGAGCAGCCCTATTTAGGAACCACTCTGGTCACCCCATACAGGGAAAGCGCTAGAAAAGGTACCCTAAACATATTCCCTCATTGTGAAAGATTCAGAATAGGTCTTCATGGTCACTTATGGAACCACTGCCAAGACT